TATTTATTATTATTTTTTTTTTGATTTGGGTGATGTGATAGGATAAAGTGTGGGTAGAGATTAAGTATAATTAATTATTTTATATTTTAAAAATATTGCACAATATTTGAAACAGAGGGAGTAATTAATTTTTCTATTTCCGTGCCTAATGAAAATAAAATAAAAATTCCAAACAGTGGAAATATTATTTATATACTTTATTTATATATATTTTTAGTTTGGTTTGTATATATTTCTTTAAAAATATGTAATGTCCCGATTTCGGAGTGTATAAAATAATATTATTGTATCAAATAAATATTTTTATAATATTTTGGGATCAATAAATTAATATTTTGGAATAAATAATATTATTGTATCAAATAAATATTTTATTCCTATTCTATTTATTGATTATGATTAAAAAACTGCTAAACGGATAAATATTGATAAAGATGGTAAGGATAATAATAATATATAATAACATTAATAATAAAATAATATAATTATATATATATATATACTTAATTAGACGAGAACAAACCCACCAGGTGAAGGAAACGCCAGGAACGTCCACGGAGGAGAAAAGTAGAAGAAGAAGAAAAAAATAATAATAATAATTTAGCCATCCGATTTCAATTTCGATTTTGGTATTCTATTTCTTGTTTAACGTAGAGTTTAATTATGGATTTTAATATGAATTTAGATATTGAGGATATTAAATTAAAAATTCTTCAAAAATTTATAACCGGCTATTTGGTTATTTAATCGATTAATTTTTTTAGTTAATAGCCTATTCGTAGTCCTAGTGTTATATTATGAGAATTTTGTATCGATCTGAGCCGAATTGAAAATGGCAGTCTATTGCACCTGCCTGTTTATTCATGTATTTAAATATTTTTATTTAATAATCAGACGATATAAATATTATGAGGTATAAGAGTTTTATAGCTAGAATATCCTATTCTACTAAATATAAAAGTTTGAAACCCAAAGAGTTAATTATAGAAATTAGTTTTTGAATAAACAGGTAGCTCCTAAGAATAAACATATAACTCATCTGATTTGAGTAAATAATGAGCCAGGTGTACGTTGGAGGAGATTTGGGTGAGATTGCAAAAGCTAGAGAGTGTCGATAAGAGGTAAGCAGTAAGAAATTAAATCTAATTTTAAGAAATTAAATCTAATTTTAAGAAATTAGGTATGCATGTTGCATGCGATTCTGATTAATATGTTAATGTGATATTATGTGAATCATTTTGTCAGTGCATGTATATATTTATATATATGTGTGTGCGTATGCATGTGGGAGACTTCACGGTTTATAATATTTGATATAGTATTTGATCGCGTTGGTGAATTTATGAAAAGGAGGATAGGTGAGCTGTCTCACCAGCCCTTTTCGGTAAATTCACTTATTTGGCATATTGCACACATATTGCACGGTTTATCGGATATGTTTTATGGATCTATCGTTTAGTCGCCGTATGCGATAGTGCTAGGCGAGGGCATCATCTGGGGTTAGGATAATCGACCCCGATGCACCGTAACACTTTGGTGATAGTAGACGATAGTAGTCGGACAACTGGGTGACTTAGTCGCAGGGTCATTCAGGGATTAGACCCACTGTAGTTAAGACGTATTTGGTCTAATCATTCGTGTTAGGTGTTATTCCACTCATTGGGCTGGTCACTGGTGAGGTCTACTAATAGTTTAGGATCATATGCCAAACTCCAAACATGATCCCTTTAGGGCGCGCGAGGAGGAGTAAAGTTTCTGGGTTTCCCTTGGGTGATTCCAGCTTGCACGGATTCTACTACATTACATAGGATATGGCTAGTCAGTTGGGGTCCTATCTTCGCTATCATAGACTATGGGGCGTCTTGTGGTTAATGGCGACAATGTTCGACTATCCATATATTGATTGTGAGAGTCGTATGGTGGGTATATGGAAGTGACCGGATGACCGTTATATCATTATGGGTTTATCTGGTCCTTCCTTGAGCCGAGGATTTTCCGACTATTTGTTGATGATGGCCTAGTGAGCTTGCTATTATGGGGCCGAGGTTATTCCGGCTGCTCACTTAGACAGATGCAGTGAGCCTATTATTATGGAGCCGAGGTTATTCCGACTGCTCACTTCGGCGGATGTATATATATATATGTGTGCATGTGCATTGTTGTCGAGTTTGATATCTTTGTTGAATCATTTCACTATTGGCATGACATGACACATATTTTATGATTGACGGAAATTAGACTTTATTTTAAAAGGTATGACATGACATATTTCACGTTAGTCCTTAAAATGGTTTTAATTCTAGACTGCTTTTAAGAAAAATATTTGGTTCAGGTATGCATGGCACCTCCGGGACATGGGACGTCTCGGGATATAGAAACACGGGCTGAGTGAGTGAAACATTTTATTGTATTATATGTAAATTTTTAACCGGAAGAACCTCTTGTTTAGGAATGTGTTCTGTAAATATTTATAAATCAGATTTTTTTATATAATAATTTGCTTTTATGGTTAATTTTAGTCTTAACACTATATTGTGGGGCCCGAAGTAGGAGGTGACGACGGTAGCATTTCTATTTCCAGTATGAGCCAACTGGGAATGTTACAAAACAATTTATAAATCTTAAATATATTTAATAATTTAATTAAATCTAATGACTTGATTTATTATTAATAAAAATGAATTTTATTATAAAAATTAATAAAATTAAATTTAAAATTTAAGTACATATGGAATATATATATATAATATGCTGTACATCGCCTATAATATCGTTATATACCTTTATAGTATTAAACTGAAATATATGTCAAATATTCGATATGTATTGTAATACTAATATGCATAGAATGTCGGTAACCTATGACTCTTTTTTTGATAGGATTCACATCATTTTCAGTTTCCGGCAAAGGTGACAACACTGAGGCACCTCTCCCGCGGATTAAAATAAAACTAGGGTCAGGCTTTGCGAAGTTCGCAGAAAGATATCAGTATTAAGATGTATACTGATATACCAAATAAAATAAAATACTTAATACTTAGGGTGAGTTTGATTTGGACTGCATACCCCTTATTACACTATTACATACGATTTTCCCATTTTCCTCCAAAAACCAATATTATTTTATTCATTTTATTTCCCAAGGTGTGCGCCATCACATCAGTCACCCAATTTTTTCTTTTCTTTTTTAATATGTGAAAAATACAGTGATTGTTTGTCAAATAATTTTGTTTTTAAATTTTTTTTATTTAAAAAATAAAAATTTGTGTCATTAATATAAAAATAATATTTTATAGTATTAAATATTGATTTTTATAAAATATATATATTGAGAATCGTGTCGAAACAAATGTAAGAAAAACAAAGTCGAAAATTATTCCAAACCTTTTTTGTTTTTAATTAACAAAAGTTTTTAAAAAAAAGTTAGATTACACAACAAACATATTAAAACAAATTATATACTCCCTCCATCTCATGTTTATATATCTATTTGCTTTTTGTTTTTTGCACGGAGTTTTAAAAATATTAGTATTATATTGAGATAAAATATAAATAAAGATAAAATGACTAAATTAACCCTATGATAAAAATATAATGATATTTGTATAATATATTGTAAATTGGAACGGTAGTTCTAATGTTAGGTAAATAATATAATTACTAAAAAAAAAAAAAATAGATACCTTGTTATGAGACGGACCAAAATGAAAAAATAAATATATTGTTAAAGAACGGAGGAATTATCATTATTCATATATATTATGGATTTTGTTTGTTTCTATAATTAAATAATATTTTTAAAAGTATATATCATCCGTCTAAATTATATTATACTATTTTATAATTTTGATAGATAGAATCTAAATGTATATATATGATTTTATTATGATAAAATTATATTTATATTTATATTTATATTTATATTTATATCAAATATCTTATATTTTTATATAAAAATTATAAATATATATTTCATTTACTATTAATTTTTATATAAAAGATTTAGTACATAATTTATAAAATATTAATTTTTTTTTTACCTAATAAGGAAAAGAAGACAATATATATTAAGGGCTCTACAATTAGATTTTAAATTAGGTAATCTAATTGAAAATATATTTACTAAAGTTATGTATAATTTTATTTTTTTTTTATAAAAATGAAATTAAAAATATAATTAAATTTAAACAATTTTTACTCTATAAATTATTTACAATTTTATAGATTATATTTAAAAATATTAAATCATCTACTTATATAATTAAATTTTTATTTATAAAATTTAATATGTTCAATTATATATTTTAAAATCGTACTATAGATTTTCAATTAGTTTGATATTTAAATTAATATGGATTCATTCATGTAAATTTAAATATAACATATAAATTAATAATAATATAAAATTATATTTAAATTTTATATAAATTAATTATGTTTCTCTTTATTTTATTTTATTCATTTAATTGTTATTAGTATTATGGATAAAATAGTAAGTTGGATTGTAAAATTGTTTTTATTTTTTTTCATAAGCACTTCTTAAATATATATATATATATATATTTTTTAAAAAATACTTTAAAGCTTAGAAGAAAAGTCAATATAAATAGAAATAAATATTTTTTTTAAAAAGAAAATCAAAATCAAAAGCATAATACTTAGTTATATTTAAAAAATACTTACATTAAATATATAACTTTTTATTATTTTAAAAATGTAAAAACTTGGAAAACCTCTTTGTAAACTCCATCCACTCTGTAATTAAATGGAGCCCAAAAATTTCTCGTGATTACAGACGTCAATAAGCTGCTAATGCTTTCTTGGTGAAGAAACAACGATAGTACAATACAATACAATACAATACACGTATACAACGCACTGATCAGTGATCATTCCCCGACGCAGCTGAACTTCAATCCTGGCCGTTGGATCAATCACACGTGAATCGACGGCTATGACTAGTACTTATTTAAGGATTTCCAATCCAAACCGGAATAAATATAAAAGCACTGTGCATCAAATCAATCAATCGTCAGATGGAATTCAATCCAACGGCGGAAACGACGATGTTCTCCAACACCACCACTACCTCATCGGCGGCGGCGGCCGTCGACCCCACGCCCCTGCTCGGAGACCAGATCTCCCGCGTACGCCGCCCGCCTTTCCTCCGTCGCCCTCCCAGCCTACGCGGCGCGGCTCAGTTCCTCCGCCGCGCCAGCAGCCGGAGCCGCCCGATGCGGGAGCCGTCCGTGCGCGTGCGCGAGGCGGCGGCCGAGGAAATCGAGGAGCGCCAGAGCGATTGGGCTTACTCGAAGCCGATAGTGATACTGGACATCGTTTGGAACATAGCCTTCGTGATTGTCTCGATTTCCGTGCTTGTTATGAGCCAGAACGAAACGCCATCGATGCCGCTGAGACTCTGGATAATCGGTTATGCTCTTCAGTGCGTCCTGCACGTGGTGTGCGTCGGAACCGAGTATAAGAAGAGGTATTTGCAGCAAGGTCGGGAGAGTGGAGGCGAGAGAGGTCAGTTTAGGTATAGTCGGAATTATTCCAATTCGAGCTCCGGAGATGATGATATAGAATCCGGTAACTATTTCTCCGATCACCGCCGGAGTGATGAGGAAACTAGGTACATTTATTTAGTGGAATTCTTTGAGGGGTTTTGATGGTTAATTAGTTTCATTACTGTGGCTTGAGAATTAAATCAACTGATCATCGAAAGGAACTATATTCGAGTTTGAAATGGACTTGAAGTGAATGTAACATAACTATGGGTAGGGTTTGAACTTAGAAGTGAAGATATTTTTGTAGGATTTTGTAGTTTCTGAAGGATGTTCTCACTTTGTCTATTAATCTGATATTAGAGGTACAACGAATTTTGGCTAATTCTGCATCATACTGTTGAAGAAATGATCATTTGATTAGGATTCTGCATCTAACAGTAGTAATATTGTTTGTGATCCTGATTTTTAAATAATTTGTTATTTGATTTAGAAAACCTAGGGTGGATGTTGCTTTGATTTTCTTATGTAAAAGTTATGTGAAACAGCAGTTGCCGATAAGGCCGTGGTTCACTAGGGTTTGTGATAATCATAGCTTTAACTTCAATGATTGCAGTGTTGTTAAACCCCTGGAGTCTGCGAATACTATGTTCTCATTCATTTGGTGGATAATTGGATTCTATTGGGTATCTGCCGGTGGTCAGAGCTTGACAACTGATTCGCCTCAGCTTTACTGGTCCGTTTAGATATTTAATGTTGGGGTAATGTTTCAATTTCTACGCGCCACGTGTTTCAATATATTCCTACCAACGATGAATTCTGTTTGCAGGCTCTGCATTACATTTTTGGCATTTGATGTGTTCTTTGTTGTCATTTGTGTTGCTGTGGCTTGTGTCATTGGCCTTGCTGTTTGCTGCTGTCTACCATGCATTATTGCACTCTTATATGCAGTGGCGGACCAGGTTTGAATATGTTTGTTAAAGTCTTTGCTTCTATTAACAAAACTTTCTGCGCTGAAGCTATGTGCCAATTCTTCTTTTGAATAAGCATCGGACCAAAATTTTATGGATTGGTAGTTGTGTTCGCACAGTGGGTTCTATGATTGTTTCATATTGCCTTGGAGACAGTGTTGCTGTTGTTTGAGTTGTTTCGAACACAATGAACTGCTGATTTTGCGAGCAGTGCCTATGTTATGAATGATTTCATCGGAAACAAGTATAATGGGGAATAATAAGATGCCAAAAGTTAGTATGATCAACAAACAGTATCATAGCAGATTATTAGATAATCCTAATTATTTCATTTTACTTGAACTTTCATTAAATTTAAGTAAGATCACATTCAATATAAAAATTCAACTATCTCAATAACGAAAGGAGTACGGGAAAGTTGATCAACATATCACTATTAGCAGCTGTAAAAGTAGGTTCCTTGAAGAATGATAGGAAGAAAGTAGATTCGACGAATTTTTTAAATATTTTGTGTGATTGAAGTGAAAGTGCCCATATATTCTAGGTAAAGTGATTCTTTGTATGTAAAACTGGCACTATTGGCTAGAACTCAAATTTCAGAGCTTTCTTTTCTTGTTCTTTGAGTGTCTTGTTCATCTTTGAGCTTTGACTAATTGTGTCTGTACTTGTAATGCCTAATGTGCCGAAGTCACTTCCCCGACAGTGACGATAAGTGTGACAATCAAAATGTTAATTTTTATGATGTTCATTATAGAGCTTGTGTATTCATTGTGCTTAGTTTTGTCTCGAATCAAATCACGTTCAGGAGGGTGCTAGCAAGGAAGACATTGAAAAACTACCAAGATACAAATTTCGTAAAATTAGTGAATCCGAGAAGCAAAACAGTGAAATCCAAGGATCGTATGGAGGAGTTATGACTGAATGTGATACTGACTCGCCCACAGATCATGTCATTCCTTCAGAGGATGCGGTATGTCCCATTTGAAATTTACATCTTCCATAGACTATTCAACTTGATTATAGTTTCACTATTTCTAAATATGTTTATTTACCACTTGTTTTCATAGCTTTTCCTGTTTGCTGCCTACTGCTGGTGACTGTTCAACCTTCATTTAGTTATATACTTAATTCTAAGAGTGTTTCGGCATGTTTTGTCGTTAGATTTACCTACTTTCTCAAAAAGCATTACCTTTGTTAGTCTTTTTATTGATATGATGGCAGTTACGGTGCTGATTAAATATAATTAGCACGGCACCGGGCTGATAGTGCTGTAATATATACCTGATAGCTAAGCAATACACATGAAATAAAATCAAAACTACATACTAATAATTAATACATAATGTGTTGCTTGTGTATTTTCATACGCAATTTATAGTATTTTCATGTACCTGTTAGGGCAATCAGCATGGTATTGATAAAATTGATATATTTAAATTTTTATTGATATTTGGAGGTAATTAGTTGTATTTAATTGTAAAATTCATATAAAATTGTTTAAAAAACATTTTGGGTGTTATTTAAACATTTATAGAAAAACAAATCTATTAGGAATACTCCCTCCACCCGTAAAAATAGAGAGTATGGATGACAATAAGTTATAATGTAGTCCAAATTAGAAAATTGTACTTAGCTTATGAAGAAAAAGGTATATAGGTGGAAATGGTTTAAATTTATGCAAATTGATATGATGATTTTTATTATTTATTATTTTGACAATTTTGCTTAATGTCTTCAATACTACATAATATTAGATGATGTAAAATGAGTAGGCACTATTGACTGCCTTTTGGGATCCACATACCATATGTGAGTGTATTAAGTAGAAGCAGTATTTTGTTGATGCATGGTATGTTTGAGAGTTTCCACATATACAAACACTTTCTCCATAGCACTGAGGTTGGATTTCTGAATGAATTGCAGGAATGCTGCATTTGCCTGTGTTCATACGATGATGGTGCCGAACTGCGTGAGCTCCCATGTACCCACCATTTCCACTCGACCTGCATAGACAAGTGGCTATACATAAATGCGACCTGCCCTCTCTGCAAGTTCAATATACTTAAAAACAGCAGCAGCCAATTCGGCAGCGAAGACCCATAGTTCAGCAACTACCATACCGGTCATGTTTTCCCGACTCCCGGCAGCCCCAGGTTTCATCTCAGTGCGACCAAGGCAGTGTACGTATACCTACCTATCATTGCCTCATTACACATAGGTACTACATACGTGGTTATGGCGTGAAATATTTACTTGGTGTTTATACGGGGTGAGGTGTGTATTAGTGAGTGAGTGAGTGTATAGAATGAATGATGAGTGCTGTGTGTTGTTTAACATATATATGTATGATATGTACGGTATAATTAATTATGCATCTATCCATGGCTTTTGTTTGATCAAGTTTTTAAGTTGTCGATCAAATGGTTTTGTAAAAGATTTGTGGGTTTCTTTGTTTGGAGTTTTTATTTAAATTTTGGTTTAAATAGTATTTTGTTTTATATTTTATGAGAGATAATATGTTTTTATTGAACATTACAAACGGTTTCCCTTGGTAGGGTTCGATCTTACTCAAATGTGAGTGTACCGTACCGTGTGTGGGTTAAATAAATAAATTGGTTAATGGAAATTAATGTTGAGTATAAATTTAATGAAAAAGCTACTTAGCTTAGATTTGTTTATAGTCAAATTTATATCTAGTTTGTTGAACGATTGAACACTTTGTCTTGTGTGTGTGTTGGTTCGGTTACCTCTTCTCTGAACATAAAAGATAGAATATAAATTATTGGTCTTTGTTGATGCTTGCGCTCTCGGTTAAGTTTTATTGTCGTTGGGCAAAACAACGTTCTAACCGTTCTAAAAAAAATTGTACGCTCACAAAAGAGGATTATTTTTAAATTTTAGTAAATTTATCAATGATAAATACATTTAATATCTTTAAATTAATTTAATTAAGATTTACTCAAATTTTTTTTTATTTATATTTTTCTTCTCAATTATCAAATATCAAATATTTTTATTTATCTATATGTTATGCATGAAAATTATGATTAGGTTAAAAAGCTCAAGTCAGAGACAGATAGGCCTATAATTGAGCATGTTAGATCGATCAGGGAGTGTTTCGAGAAAATTGGGTGAAATAGACGTATTTATGAGGAAATAGCGGGTCGGAAGGTCCGCAGGTCGGAAAGTCCGTAGGTCGGACGGTCTGCAGGTCGGAAAGTCCTTAGGGCGGATGGTCTACAGGTCGGAAGGTCCGCAAGTCGGAAAGTCCACAGGTCGGAAGGTCTGCAGGTCGGAAGGTCCGCAGGTCGGAAAGTCCACAAGTCGGAAAGTCTGCAGGTCAGAAAGTCCGTAGGTCGGACGGTCCACAGGTCGGAAGGTTCGCAGGTCGGAAAGTCCGTAGGTCGGATGGTCCGAAGGTCGGAAAGTCCACAGGACGGAAAGTCCGCAGGTCGGAAGGTCCGCAGGTCGGAAGGTCCGTAAGTCGGTTGGTCAGTGAGTCGGACGATGTGTAAGTTGGATGGTCTGTAAGTCGGGAGGTTTGCGGCTGGACCAACAAGTCGGATGGTCTGTAAGTCGGGAGGTTTGCGGCTGGACCAAAAGGTCAGGTAGTCTGTAAGTCAGAAAATTTGCGGCTGGACCAATAAGACGGGTGATTTGTAAGCCGGAAGGTTAGCGGTCGGACCAACAAGGCGGAATGATTGCGGTCGGTCCAAAAAGGATGGAAGGTTTGCGTTCGGACCAACAGGGCGGAAGAGCTACGTTCGGGCCAAAAAGGCGGAAGGTCTGCGGTCGGTCCAAAGAATCGGCAGATTCGTGGTTGGATAAGCAGATCGGTTGGTATGGAGGTCGGATTCTGTTGAGAGTGAGTGAGAGTGATAAATTCGGTCGGCTGAGGGCACGTGTTAGTAGGAGAAGGGTTAGCAGACGATTAAAAAAGAGCGTTGTAATTGTTCGGGGGACGGTTTCCAGTACCGTTTCTGAAGAGTATTTAAGGATTAAAATTTGCAACTGACAAGGTATCTTCAATCAACTTCAAACGACGACAAAGTCAGTGATTCGAGGATCATCATTTAAATTTTCAGCATTTTAATTTCCAGTTAATTTTCTGCACCGTACAGTGTTTAGAGATTTCTAATCTCAGATGCTAAATATATCAAGTTCGAAGATAATTTCCTATTTTCGGATTTTACTTTTTGTTTGTTAAAAAAAATACTTCAACAAATTGGCGACCACACTGGGAGAAAGGCAAGATTGTTGATCCTACATCAACAGAGAATTTCATACGACTGAGGTCTGGCCAAATTATCAGAAAAATAAGTATGGCAGACTCACAACCTCAATCATCATCAGCACCGGCGGGAGAAAATGTTTCACCACCCGTCATGCCAAATCCAGGGGAGATTCCCCAACCACCTACCGATTGGTTGGCTTATGTTCAGCAATTGAACAATCAACAAACTTCGGCGATGCAAAATATGTTGCGCGAGCAACAGAACATCATGTTGCGCGAGCAACAAAATCTGATGCAGAACATGTTAGACCAAACTTTATTAAGGGTTACTCTTCAACCCACTCAGACACCACCAGGGATATCACAATCAAGAATGCAAGCAAATTTCGCAGGACCATCATACGTCGACAACACACTTCCAAGCGCCACGACGTTCAACCGAACGAATAGGGGAAAGACTCCTTTAACTTTCCCTAATAATGTGCCTTTGGGACCAAGAGTTGACAATATGCAGCCAAACATTGTCAGGGAGGAGAGGCAGGGAGCACATGTGCAAGATTCCATCTTCATCCCTGATCAACAGCATCCTCGTGTGGATCTTGAAGAGATTGTGCAGGTTTTGAGAGTGCATTTTGGTCTGAATTCTCAGATGGCCAACCGCCCTGCATATCAAAGGCCTTTCCCCGAAAGGATCATCAACGATTATCCACTGCCAAGGAATTATCGACCACTTGATTTCCATGCTTTTTCAGGGGAAGATGGATCTTCCACCATTGAGCATGTGGGTCGCTTTACAGCACAGTTAGGGGAAGTTGGAAATAATCCTTTTTATAAAATGCAGTTATTTGGGTTATCTCTCACTAGAACAGCGTTCTCATGGTTTGTAAGCCTGCCACCTGGGCAAATACAAACTTGGGAAAGGTTGGAGATGGCGTTTCATGCTAGGTTCTTCAATCCTTTACCGACCATCTCTCTTACTGATTTATTGGAATTGAAACAATATCCAGAAGAGTCAGCTTCACAGTTTATTGAAAGAGTACGTTTGATGAAAGGACGTTGTCCTACTATAATCAATGAAAATGAAATGACCAACTTAGTGGTCAGGAACATGCATGGTCGTCTGAGAGAGGCGCTCACTGCCCATGATGTAGAAGATTTGGCAAGCCTTGCTTCTAAGGCTGCACGTTTGGAGTCTCTTTTTAGAGAAAAAGATCAGAATTTCAGGCGTAATAAAGTCCAGCATATGGCAAGTATGGAAACAGAGGCATACGACTTTGATTATGATCAAACGGAAGAGATGGCGGCCAAAATACTGTCAGGGAAGCCTTATGTATGTTCTAAGTTAAAGCCAATACTAGGAACTGAAGGAAAAGAGCAACCGACCTTTGATAATTCAAAAGCCGATTAGATTTTTGATATTTTGCTATCGGATGGTCAAATCCGAATTCCAAAGGGGCAAAGGTTGGCTACTAAGGAAGAAATCAAAGAAATGCCGTATTGTAAGTTGCATAACTCTTTCACACATAATACAAGTCAATGCACTCATTTTCGAAATGAGATCCAAAAGGCTATTAAGGCAGGTTGGCTCAAGTATATTACTTTGGGAGTAGAGCAACAACCGTTTCCAAAAGTAACCACAACAATGGTTAATATACAAGCGAGTTCCAGATCGGAAAAAGGGAATTCATTAAGCAGTGGCCGACCAGAAGAGAAACTCAAGGTCTGCGAAAAAATAGTGGCTGAAAAATGGGATAATCAAGACGGTTCTTTTAACGTGGAATTAAAGGAGCAAGTTTTGGTTTGGGACCACCCGACTAGGACGGGTGCGGTCGGAAGCAAATGGACTCGAAATAAGAAACCTTTACCAATTGATGTGGACCCTCGCTTCCCAGGCATGAATCGTACTCAGATTCGGAATGCCAAGCGCAGATATGCTGCGAGATACAGGGACAAGGGCGCTTCCTCAAGGCAGCCGAATATGCAAGGCGCTGATAATTCTCCGGAAGGAGGTCGGTACTTACGGGTCGCCTCATCAAAGCAATCGAACGACACCCGAGGTGCTGCTAAGTATACTGAAGGAGGTCGGTCCATCAGGGTTGTCTTTGACCAGCCGAATGAGGCAGAAAGAGGTCGGTCCATGCAAAAGAAGTGTAAAGGCTTACCAGATGAAAGAGTTAAAGGTTTCAGGTGTCAACATTGCGAGAAGGTTAACATTAACCCATCACTGGAGGAATTTCGTTTGGAATCTCTGACAATTCAACCTGAAATTGAAACCAAAGGTGAAATTCCAAATACCGTTTCAAGGTCTGTCAAATCTCGATTAGGGCCACGTATCCCCTGCCGACTGACAGAAACTAACTAGGTTGAAGAAGAAGCTTTGTGGGCAAGTCTGGTGGATGAATTTGTAGAAGAGCCAGAATGGGCAAAGATTTCGGATCCTGATTTTAAGTCAGAGGTCCCTCCAATAGTCTTCCCTCCCATTCCAGAAGGCACAGCGTCTCATTTGAAGCCTCTGTACGTTAATGCTCATATTTGTGGGAAACCACTCACAAAGGTTTTCATAGATAATGGGGCCGTCTTCAATGTAATGCCATTAAAAACTCTCAAGAAGTTAGGAAAGGAAATTCACGATCTATCTCCTGTGGATTTTGAGATGACTAGCTTTACAGGGCAGCTGACCAGACCAGAAGGCATGATGGTCGCCTCAATTGAAGTCGGTCCGAAAAAGATTTCCTCTGTTTTCTTTGTGGTGGACGCATACACTATATATTCAATCTTACTTGGACGAGATTGGATTCATGTATCTAAATGTGTGCCATCCACACTGCATCAACAATTAATGTTCTAGGAAGACAATAAGGTCTTCAAAATGGAAGCAAATGACAATCCATTCGGAGCATCAGAACAAGTTGAAGAATCAATTTTTTATTATGGTCATGTACCTTCAATGTCTCAGTTTTTTATGGCTAATGAATACCCCAAGAAGGGTTTTAAATTCATTAGCCAGAATTCAATGTTCTTTTAAAAGAACAGTTGTACTGTATGGCTCTCGAGAAAGCCAAACCTATTTTTATAATATATTTCTTATGGAAGGTGCAGATTTACAAGATTGTAGTTTACTTATTAATCAGTATTATTTAGACCATCTTTTGAAAAAAGTAGAGAAAAATAAAAAGATATATGATGTTCATTTCCAAGAAGATGAGCAATTTCATTGGCCTGATTTATTAGAGAAAACAGAGCCAGCTTTCTCAGCACAAGATCCTTTATTGGATTTCAACTTAGGAACCGACCTGGTTCCAAAAATAATCAGGATGAGTGGTTATTTGTCTGAAGAGCAACAAAAATTGATGCTCGAGGTTATAAAAAACAATATTGATTGTTTAGCTTGGGATTATTCAGAAATGCCTGGTTTGGAACGAAACTTGATAGAGCATCGGTTGCCTATTAAAAAAGATTTCAAGCCTTACAAGCAACCTCCAAGGCGTATGAGTCCTAATTTAATGCCTCAAATCAAAGAAGAAATTCAGAAACTTCTTAAAGTAGGTTTCATTCGGCCTTGCCGTTATGCAGATTGGTTGGCCAACATTGTACCAGTGGTTAAGAAGAATGGGAAGATCAGGACATGCATCGATTTTAGAGATCTTAATATGGCCACTCCTAAAGATGAGTATGTGATGCCTATGGCCGACATGTTAATTGACTCAGCAGCAGGACACAAAATTCTCAGTCTGATGGATGGTTATGCAGAATATAACCAAATCTTTTTTGCAGAAGAAGACATTCACAAGACAACATTTAGATGTCCAGGAGCGTTAGGTATTTATGAGTGGACGGTTATGCCTTTTGGCTCGAAGAATGCTGGGGCGACTTATCAGAGGGCCATGAACTCAATTTTTCATGATCTCATTGGTAAGTCTATGGAGGTGTATATCGATGATGTTATCGTCAAATCTTCTAGTTTCAAAGGGATATTTGAAAGATCTTGAGGATGCTTTCAGTCGGATGAAGAAATACAAATTGAAGATGAATTCGACCAAGTGTGCTTTCGGTATATCAGTTGGGAGTTTCTTAGGTTTTTTGGTTCATGAAAGGAGAATTGAGATTGATGCTAATAAAGCCAAGGCAATCCTTGCCAGCCGACCACCCAAGACGGTTAAGGAAATTCAAAGTCTTTTGGGGAAGGTAAATTATCTCAGGCGGTTCATTTCCAATGCTGCTGGCAATATCAGACCAATCACTAAATTATTAAAGGCAGGAGGAAGCTCCTTTGAGTGGGGACCAGACCAACAGACAACTTTAGAGGCTATAAAGCAAGCATTGGCTCAACCACCTGTGTTGATGCCTCCCAAGGAAGGTCGGCCTCTCAAACTTTATTTGGCAAGTGCCTATGAAGTGGTCAGTTGCTTATTGGCTCAAGATGGTGATGATGGAAAGGAAAGGACAATTTATTATTTAAGCAAGACTCTCACAGGACCAGAATTAAATTATACAATGCCAGAGAAGATGTGTTATTCATTGGTGTTTGCATGCACCAAACTTGAACATTATATGTTACCCAGAAGAGTTGAGGTTATTTCAAAGATTGATCTCATCAAGTTAATTTTGCAAAGACCTACAATGCATGACAGACTTATGAAGTGAGCCATTAAATTAGCGCATTTCGATTTGTATCATTCTCCTTTAAGGGCGGTCAAAGGCCAAGTAATAACAGATTTTTTGGCAGACTTTGCAGGAAACAGATCGGGCGCAGGTGTCTTCTTGGAAGGACCAGACGGCCAAAGGGTCAGTTTGCAGCTGCAATTGGAAGCCATGACCCATAATTTGGCAGAATATGAAGCTTTAATCTTAGGATTGGAGGCTTTGATAACCAGGAAAGTCCAGTCGATTATTATAAAAGGGGATTCTCAATCGGTGATTAACCAGGTAGACAAACAGTATGTTTGCAATTATAAAAAAAAACATACCCGTCACATCCCATCCCCATACATTCATACGTATAATCATAATATATATATAATTATACGTACACTATAATATTTATTGACACTCAACCTTGCCTATATATTTACATTCGGTTCATATATATTATATACACACTCCATCCTAAAAGCATAGTCTTATTATGTTGGGCACACAATTTAAGAAATATTCATATTATATTGGTAGTTGGTAAAAAGTAATGATAAATAACTATTTTACCCTTGTGAGTATATTAGTGTAAAAAGTAGTGACAATTGTGTAATAATAATGAAAAAGTAGGAATAATTTTATAGTGATATATTTAATTATGGAAATGAGACTATTGTCTTGAGACGAACAAAAATGATATACAAGACTATTATATTGGGACGGAAGAGTAATATATATAAAATAGTGACTAATGGTAGAAATAACTAATATTTTTATTGGCTATCTATGTAATAATATTACAATAAATATTTTATTTTTCTAATTTAAAAATTTTGAAACTCAACCAACCCTAAAACACAAATTAACAAATGCACTTATCAAATCGAAATCAACGTAATTCATTGTAATAATAATACAATAATACTCTATTTCAATCAATTTTAAACAAATTAAAAAATATGTGTATATAAATATTATTTCTAGTTAGATTTTATAATTTCATTAATTAAAATATTAAATATCATAACACAGTTGTGTTTGTGTGAGATATTTATTTTGAAAAAGGCATTTAGATTAAAATATTATAATTAAAAACTAAATGTAAATTTTATAATATCATCAATTAAAATATCAAAACACAGCTGTCTGTGCGAGATATTTATTTTAAAAAAGACATTTGAATTAAAAAATAGTTTTATAATATAATATTTATAAATTAAAAATTAAATGTAACACCAATATTTGCAGATGATAGGAAAACGGCGTCGTGTCACGAAGATGATAAAAATGCACCAGCCGGGAATCGAACCCGGGTCTGTACCGTGGCAGGGTACTATTCTACCACTAGACCACTGGTGCACCTTATCCAATTCTGGGGTTACATTTAATTTAACTATGTTTATAAACTAGACATACAATTTTTGTTGTTTTATTTTTATTTTTTTTACTATTAAATCTTCACAATTGTTTACAAAATTATATTATTTATTCTCGTGAAATATCATCTCTAACTATTATTTGGATATAAAATATCATTCCATATATCATCAATTGGTTCAGATATCTTCATAATTTCATTATTCATAATGGTCCTTAAAAATTCACAACCGTCAAATATGATTATTGATGAACCGATGAAATTGCAGGTAAGGGTAAATATGTAATTTAATTCATATAATAAATAAGGCCATTATTCATTTCAACATAAATCAAGAGAATACAAAATAAAGATATATGCTTGTCTTGCTCATCATTTCAATCAATTCATAGCAACAA